CGACATAAGCAATTTAAAGTTGACGCAAGTACATTTCCATGTTTGATAAGTCTCGAGTAGAAGATGATTGGCAATTCATCGAAGACAATCATGCCACAATGGCACAAACACCAACACCAACTCAAACACACACACACACACATTTGACCATTTGCCTTTGAGCCTACTGTGGTAAAAAGAGGCTAATTTGTTTAAGTGCCAACTGCCCCTTGAGAACACTGAAAGAGCAATCATATCAACCACTTGAACTTGTCCCTGTACTTATCTTATTGTGAGCTAAAAGTTATCGATCAACTACACTTGTGAGAACTGTATGAAATTACGATTTTTTCCTAACTTTTTATGACTGTGGCTTCTAGCATCCTCAGCCTATAATCATGTAAATTTAATAACAATTGATTCAAATTTACAAAGATTGTCAATCCATTAAATATTTACTCAACCGTAAATACGCGTTTTAGTAAACTGTAGTATTTGATTTTAAATGTATTATTTTACAATCAAACATCCAGAGAATTCTGTAAAGATTATAATTGAAATATCAAAACAATTAAATAGCAAATAGTGGAAATAAATCATCACTGATTAAGTCGTAATTAACATTCATCGAGCACTATCTGCCTTGCATTGCTTTTATCAGTGGGCAGGTAGAAAGGGAATACATTAAAGCAGTCCTCCACTGTAAATCGGCTGTTCTCTTCATTATCATCCCCAAACGAGGGCGAGACAATTGAATCAGGTGCATCTAATTGCTAAGATTTCATGTCGCCATTTATTCAATTGAGACTGCATTACGTGCCAGATTTATTAGTTCATTGTGCGCCCTCCTGTTGTGTCTACAGCAATTGGGTAGCAGCCATTGCTGCACTCTCTCCATTGCCCATTACTGCCAATTGTTCGGTAATGAGGCACATGCTCCAGCGTTGTGACTCGGACAGTGTATCAGCACACAGCAGAGTGACCACCACCACCGGAGACGTGACTCCATTGAAGGTCGCCGCCTTGAGGGTAATGCGCAAGTTCAGCTGACTGGACACACTGTCTTCGTGCTTCCTCCTAATCGCATTCCAATGACAAATGACATGGCGGAGANACCACCGGAGACGTGACTCCATTGAAGGTCGCCGCCTTGAGGGTAATGCGCAAGTTCAGCTGACTGGACACACTGTCTTCGTGCTTCCTCCTAATCGCATTCCAATGACAAATGACATGGCGGAGAGAAGCTGCTCCACTGTTCCAATATTGTAATCTTTCTCTCTCTCTCTCTCTCTCTCTCCCTCCAGCAGAAAATGGAGCCTCAGAGTAGCAAATGAAGCCTTGAAATCACAAGTTTGTATTAGTAATGAAAGCAAATGTAGTTGTATGAGCAGTGTTGAACAGAACGCGAATAACAACGACAAAAAATGGTACGAAAATAGAGTACGCCACGCTATGGCTAGTACAATGCAACACCACCGTTCTACATAATATGTAGAGCATGGAGGAGAGTGGACAGTTTAACTATTGTCAGAGTGGTCAGTATCCTCGTCATCAGTGTCGTGGTGGTGGGTGACGGCTAGTGGCGTGTCTGCGAACAGGTGAGGCACACTTTGCTGATGCTGAACTTTACCATGCACCTTCTCGGCAATCTTCACCAGAGAGTTCTGTCGATCCATCATCGAGACGCGGCCATTTTGGTAGGTAGAGTCGACCGACTTCACTGGAGTGGACTTTGCGCTGCTGTCCACAACTTCGTTCTCCATGATTATCTTTAAATCGTGTTCGAATCCGTTTCCATTAGCTAAGACGTCTTTCTCATGTTCGACAGTCGATTCGTGCGGCATAAGCATTGGCGGAGCCCGGAACATGTAACTGAAAGGGTAGTACATGAGATTGAGGAAGGTACTGGAGTAGAGATCAGCATAACGACAGATCTGGTTGGCAAAGTGCGTCTGGCGAGAGCCACAGCGGAAGATGCTGCCCAGAATGCCATAACTCATGTCTAGTTCGTGAATGGTCTCCCGAATGTTAGTTCGAAGTGCGCTTATATCCGGCTTGTTTCGCGAGCTACTGTCCATGTTGACGTACAATTCGCCCAGCTCAAAGTCCAGTTCGTTGAGTCGCTCGAACAAGGATCGTTTGTTGACCCAAATGTCCAGTTCATGCTGCAGCTCTGGAACGACTAAAAATGTACGCCAGCCTCTAATTTTCTTGCTCTTGAGGATATCACCAAAAATGTGATCTCCAACGTAAAGACTAGAGTAAAAACAAATTGAAACCAGTTAAAAAAGAAATTAAAAAGTCTTCTATTTAGAAGCAGAAACGTACCAGTCTTTGCCTTTAGCACCAATGAGTTCAGTGAAAACGTCACATGATCCGCCAGAGTAGACTTGGCCAGGTTCAAAAGGCCCTGTATGAGTGCCAATTTTGAGGGCGCCTGTTTTCACGTCAACCTGGCGAAGTATAGTGCCTTCGTCAAAGAACAGTGGCTTTCTGAAAAATGAAATTTTGAAAAATCAATCTTAGATCAAACACACATTCCTAAAAGCATACCTTGCGTCAACGACAATATAGTCAAAGTAAGTCTTCCAGTGTCGACCTTTAGCGGATGGCACGTCAAACAAGAAACTCATCACTTTTTCCGTGTACCTGTAATCAGAGTTGGTCAACAGGAAGGTTTTCTTTCCGTTTTCGTGCATTCGATCAAGCAACAGAGGAAGTCGCAAATCTCGCTCAATATATTTTTCCATGTTATTGACGGTTTGATCCTTCAGCACGCCGTTCTACAAACAGGATAGTTATAAATAATGCAAAAATATCTAATGCTAATGATTCGTTACCTGCATGTGCACCCAGTCGAATGCGCTGCGCACATCTTGAAAGATGCTCTTGTATGACATGGTTAGCTTGCCATCGATTGCCTTAATACCACTTGGAATAGATGCCTGTTTGCTGTATCTGTTGAATAATTATTTGTTAGAGATTTATACACCCTCTTTCATCTAAAACAAACTTACCGGACATAGTGTGGAGAGTTGGAGAAAAAGTCAATGACGCAAGCAAGAAGGTAAGTTTCCGGTTGGTTAAACAAAGTATTGAGCACGTAAATGCGATTTTCATCCAGCTGAACAAACTTGTTGGGGTACATTGAGTAAATTTCCGATCTACCAATCAGTTACCAAATAAAAACACCGGTTAGTAAGGGAACACAGAAACCAAATGCAAAAAATAAATACGTTTTGAGAAACTTGAATCCGAAAACACAAATGAGGATGTTGCCATAGGCGTCCACCTTTAGAAGATTGCCATTTTCAGTGTCGAACCAAAGTCCGCGAACAGGAAAGGTTGGGTCGTAGATGAAGGCGTTGATCTCCGTCGGGTAGCCCATGTCAATCAGTCGCTGCTTGACTAGATCAAACGAAAAGGACTCAAAGTCAGGGTTTTTGTACACTGCCAGTGTGTAGTCCATGTCGAAGCCAAAGAACTTAATCTTCTCCAAGTGCATCGATCGATTGACAAAGATTCGCTGCATGTTGCGGCGCTTCGTAGTGAGACTCTTCTCCAGTTTAACCAAATGTTGCTTAGCACTGTTGGCACTTGGCGAAATGTCAGTAGCGTGTTTCGGTTGCGTCACCTTACTGTCGTCGGCTGATTGACTCGAAGAGGCAGACGTCGGCGATGTGCTCGTGGCGGTGGCCCTCGACTGACTGCCGCCAGTTTCCTTGCCGCCGCTAACGGCATTTTGCTTTATTGTCTCGCAAGCCTTTTGCTGACTCTCCTCTGCTGACTGCGGTTGTTTCAGTTGATCCATCCTTCGCTTCAAAGTTGAGAAGTTATCTTCTTGAGCACTAGTGAATAGCTGGCGATAAGCAGAATGATGATGGGCCAAGGGTTGGGAGAAAAGAAGTCGATGAGAAGGCAACTTATGAGCACAGAGACACGTGATCACTTCCACCCAGCACTGGAGTTCGATATTAGAAATGGCGGTCACTGAAAGGTAATTAGATAGGCTGTTTCGTAGAGCTAAAAGTCGAACTTTTATGAAGCCGCGAGCCTTATCGCTTCCAGACACAATTATGGATTGATAACGATGCCTTTTACTCTTCGCCGACAAATGGTTTGCTGAGATAGTCGTCCAGTGATGCTCTAGCATGGAGAAAAAAGTTTCAACATATTAGTGACCTGTTTCACTACGTGGGTTGGATTGGTCATGTGAAAGTGAATTTGCAACACATCAGCGAGTGAGCACGGCAGCACATCGCCTGCCTGACTGACTGAATGTGCTTGGTGGTCAGTATGGGTACGGGAAAGTCCCCTGCAGACGAAAGTCGCCTTAGAGAAAGCTGCAACACAAATGAGTCAGGTGTGGAAGAGGACTTTCTTTACAAAGACCGTTAGCTGGTGGCGGCGACAAAAATAAGAACAACAAAATATCTCTCCCTAAATCAAACATTTTTTCCTGTTTAGCTTGAACAAGACAAACTTGTTTCTCTCAGAGTCGCAAAAAGCCGTACAATGACACTCTGGCTCACCTTTGAGTTGGCAGTGCCTTTTGAAATTGAATATGCACCTCTGCAGAATAAAGCTTAGCAAATCGATCAAAAGACTAGCGCAGTCTTGCGGATTCACAGTTTAATTTACTGTTTGACAATTGTAGTCAGTATTGAAGTCATTTTAGTACTGATCACGCTACCACATACATAAGTCTCTGTTTTAAAAAATCGCTCTCCCACTCTTATGATCCTAGTAGAAAAATGTTTTTTAAAANTTGAAATTGAATATGCACCTCTGCAGAATAAAGCTTAGCAAATCGATCAATAGACTAGCGCAGTCTTGCGGATTCAGTTTAATTTACTGTTTTACAATTGTAGTCAGTATTGAAGTCATTTTAGTACTGATCACGCTACCACATACATAAGTCTCTGCTTTAAAGAATCGCTCTCCCTCTCTTATGATCCTAGTAAAAAAATGTTTTTTAAAATTGTGCGTCACAAGATTTTGCTTACGCTCGTCTTTTCAATTCTACATGCAATATCCTCATAGTAATGTTTGTGTGCTATTTTGAGAGAAAAACATTTCCTATGTTGATCAGTTTATATTTAGATTAATTAGGTATTGAAGTCAACAATACAGCCTAAACTGTCAGAGTTACTTGGAAAACTCAGTATGGAAAAAATGTCAATGAAAACACAAATATTTTGCGTATTGTCAATAAAATCAAATTTTTCATCAACTTTGGAGTACGTTTTAGTGGAAAGTGGTAACTTGAACTTTCGTCAAGTGCAATGGCAACAAAGTAGGCACAGACCGATATAGACTGATGTTGGGCAATAGTGCCTTGCCTTGTCAGAGGAAGAATTTATGAATTTCACTTAACTTCTTGGCAAAAGATGCAATTTGCCCTCGAGGGCGCGGGTGCCAATTGATGTGCTACTGACTTGCCTGCTAGAAACGCAAACACTTACTGCTCGTCTGAGGGCTTATCAGAAAGTTTATGTACGACGACGTGACAAGTTCGACTAGGCGCCGCTCGTTGACAGTTGTCTTATGTACGGTGTCAATTGTATCAGTTCACGAGACCGCTACTGATGATTAGGCACTGTCACTGTAGACCACAATGGGACTTTTCTCTGTGAAGATTGCAAAAAACTACCACAAAAATTCAGTACAAGTAATTTTTTCTCGCTGAAAAAGAGACAGTGAATGCACGTAATGGGGACATCTCCAGCTCCATGTCCTTGTTGCCGTTCGACAGTGGCCACCGACAAGTAGCCGATAAGAGCACGAGAGTACTGCACGACAGTAGTCAATTGCTGACAACAACAACAATTAGATGGCAAGTGGAAGTGGCTTTTGGCAAGTGCAGTTGCCAGAGTGGTCTACCAGGCACTACAACAGACCACTCACAGCTGTCTGGCTGCTCTACTCTTTATACGTACGAGATTGAGGGCAAATCTGGTCAGTGGATTTGGGTGAAATCAGTGCAGGCACAGAGAAGGCAAGCGTGTGTGTGTGTGTGTGTGTGGCAAGCGAAAAGATTGAATGTCTGATCAGTATTTCATCAATGCACTAAACACTAAAGCACAAAAATGTCTGGTGTCAATTGGCAAATTTATGGCATGTTTCGTTCTGCGTTGAAGGTGAGGGTAGGATTGAGCGTGAGAGTCAAACAGTGAAATGCAGAGTACCAGTACAGTGCCAGTGCAGCAGCTGTTTGGTTTCTGCTAGCAGCATGTGTGTCTCTCGATTCTCTCGGCACACCAGCAGAATACTGCTTCTATTTAGATTGTAGTCAAGTCGCTGTTACGCCTGCGTACAGACGGGTGAAAGGCGGTTAGAATCAAGAGTACAGGGACTTCAGTGAACACTGACGTGGGAAAGTGAGTTTGAATTTAGGTGCAAAAGTAAAGATAGATCAAGTGATCACGAGAAAAGAGGAAGAAAGGAAGAAACGCAGAGATTTGAGCGACCGAAGCGGTGAATACCGTTAATTAGATTGCAGAACAGAACACTTCTGGTGCCACGTTCAGGAAGATCGACGTGCAACTGAAGGCACCTACGGGCACTGGCTGAATGAACAGCGTAGATCAAAATGTTTCGGAACATGTTTACAAAGTGCAGCTAGACACAAACAGACTCGCAGGAGGAGATCGTGACTATAAAATTGATAAAGCTGTCGAGAGAGAGCAATCGTCAGTTGTCAATGGGTGACTCTCGCTCTCACTCGGTTGTTGTTATCGGACATTCAGAGTACGTTGTCAATGTGCTTTGAATAGAAACCATTGGCTTTCCACCCACGAGTGAGTGAGTGCACGCGTCAGTTTGTGCTTACTCTTTGTTCTGATGCGACTCAAAGATTAGACACGGAGGAGATACTCAGAAAGGCCACTAAACTAGTATAAGATTACCTCAAAGGTTAGAATCTATTAATACAAAGGTATCATTCTTTTCATTGTTCACTCTGATGCTAAAAATTGACTTCTAACGAAAGCCGTCAACAGTAAAGGTTCATCATTGCGTCAGTACATGCTGCGGGCACGTATTGAAGACAAGTGGACAAAATCAAGAGTGTAAAGCAGATAAGGGCGCATCGGATGTGATCACAGTACAGAGCCTTCTGTACTATGATCAAAGCGGCAAAAAAAGTACACCCAACTAACATAAGATGTGCTTATCGCAGAGCGAATTGTCGCCTCCCTGAGCTAGCAAGTACGATTTCAACTTGAAAAGCGGTTTTGCAAGATCACAGGGCGTCAAAGCAGTCAGTAGTGCTAGCGAGGGTGGAAAGTCAAATTCCACTCTCGCTTCACCGATAAAAGTAATCATGGTGTTTAGATTGGTAGGCAAACAAATAGAAACTTACTTGAATAATAAAATCAGAAAGTATGGTTTCAGTAAAGATGATCTACTACGATGACGATGCACCAGCCACCAAAACACGCTGCCAACTGAATCGGTTGGAAAAGCGCTCGAAGAAAAAAATGCAGAGCGATCTAGTACGCATGCTTTGCAGAATGTAAACAATCGGTGCACCGAAAAAGCGAGCACATGCATCAGCTGATCAGGTATCCCGGTAGACGGTTGGTGAATCCATTTGCCGTAGGAAAGTTGAGTAACACTCTCCGCAGAGTGCCTCACCTGTAGTCCCTCTCCTCCCTCTCCTCCTCTTTCTCCCTGCTCATCTCTCTCTCTACTCTGGTGAATTCGTTAGTAGTGCTTGAGTGACATCAGCCATCTAATTACATCGCGCGATCATCAAATGCTCTTCTATGGTGTGTCTGTGTCTGTGTCTGTGCTATCGTCGCCCCCGCTGACTGTCGTTAGCCATATCTGCTTGTAAGTGCTCGACTCGAGCAGCTAGCTTGATAAAGTGAAGGCAACAACAGTGCGGTGGTCTTCTTCTCCTCCTTTCGGGCAGCAATATCCTCTCTTCAGTAGCTGCTGAAGCTGACTGGATTCTTTGTCTGGCATTGCAGCATCGGCTGTAATCGCTCTCTTTCCCTTCTACTTAATCAGCCATCCCCTGACCACTGACCACCATGAAGATGTGGCCTCTGAAGGCGCACTGCTGTCTCTGGTTCGGGTCACTGAGCGGCATACTCCCCTTCGTCTTCCTCTTTGCCCGAGACCACCTGGGCATGTCAGCGACCGCCGTGGGAGCACTCTTTTCCGTGCTTCCCTTTGTGGCGGCCATCGCTAAGCCACTTGCGTGCTCGGCGGCAGATCACAACGGCAAGTACTCTACTGGACTGCTGCTGTCACAGGTGTTTGCACTCTCCGGCTACGGCTTCATGCTGTCAATTCCGGCGGCTCATTCTCTCCTATCAAATGATGCTCTCTGGTACATTTTCTGCCTGCTGGCACTCGTCGCCAACACCTCAATGGGCATTGGAATATCGCTCACCGATTATCTGGTGATGCACGAAGTAAACCACATCAATCAGCACGGCGGCAACACCAACTATGGGAACTTTCGAATCTGGGGCACAGTTGGCTTTGGTGCTTTTGGTAAGACAGTGT